GAATATTTTCCTCACGTAATATATGAATTATTATCATGTTGTTATTAATTTTATTAATATATAAATGTATTTTACGTGAGAACTATTTTCTGTCAAGGAAAAAACAACTCTTTTCGTTCTACTATCAGTACATTGCAATTAGATTATCGTTTATCAACAAAAAGAATATCATACAAGACATTGATAAATAAGAAAATATACTTTTTCTTTTATTAATAGTCTTTATATTGAATATTAACGATATTTCATTGTATATTTAGAAACTCATTCTGATTAACCTTTTAATGATTATGATCAATTTCAACAGAATCTAATTCTGTATTTTTATGAATGGTTGATTAACTTTAGAGTACATATCTATAGTTTTTATTTAAGTGAAAAGAATTGTTATCTGCCAAAAAATTACTATTTACTGAAATCTTTATATTTTTATTGAAAAACAAATCAATACAGGACGGAGAATTTACGTTTTCTATTAGTCGTTCAAACCTCTTCTGCAATATTTTCCTTACTAAACACACCCTTTTATTAAGTTTAAAAACTGGTACAAATGCGACAACATATCGTGTTGCATATAAAGTTATTCTACTTGTATATGCTCACTAGAATTCATTATTGCTCGTAAAATCTAGAAATTGATAAATTTATAAGTAATCTCATCGTATGATATGATAGAAAAATATCGAAAGAACGAAAACAATCATTACAAATCATTGAATAGAATGATGTTGAATAATTTATCTTTTAACTAACTTGTGTCATTAAATATGTTTGGTTTTTCATTTTTTTTATGTAATGACTACTTTTCATAATAGAATTTTATTTATTATTTGTCATAAAAAGCAAAATTTTCAGTACAAATCATTTCAGGATGAGACGAACAATGAAAAAAATACCATTTGTGATTGTACATATTGGTCTTGATGATATCACCATAAAACTTTGAATATAGAGATAAGATGTAAGACATGTACTATATATTCACTTATGTAATGAATTTTAATTTTTAGTACATGGTCTGGAATTCTAATCACAAAATCAATGTGTTTGTCTAATTTTAGAAATATAAAACGCATTTTTTTAAAAATCTTACATCGTTCTTCTGTTATGAGACACAATATATCATAGTGACAATAGTTTTGCAAATCTCTCGAGAATAATTTGTAGTCAAAAATCGATTTAGATATAATCATATTCGAAAAATTCAGCTTAATTCTCTTTGAGAGTCTTATTCGTCATTTGTCACATCTGTCAATAGATTATTTTTACATTTTCTCTTTCAATATTTTTCCATCCATTCCATCGTATCAGTAGCCAGCAATGCTATAAAGAAATTAAAATCAAAGCTGTTGTAACGAATTGGAAACAGATGTAGTTCATCATCTATAGATTCTTCTTCGATAAGTTTAGATATCCCATGCAGAATCTGAAGTACAAAGAGAAGTTAACAAAAATTGGACTGCAAATCAGAATATCCCATACATTCAATTATATCCTCCAGATATGAATAATTCAATCTTTTTCGTTCTTGTTGTAAAGCTAATTAGACTTATGTATTGCATTGTCTATCTTCCAATAAAGAATTTCAGGTATATGATTAATTGTTTTGCTATTGAATAGCTTGATAAGTCTTTTGTTATTTTATCAATTTAGTAAATTTATTAATTGACTAAAATCTGCTTTGAAGAACACAGAAATTTAATTAATAATCATGAACACTATTGCATTGTGTTTTATTTCATAAATAAAATAAACGACGTCTAAATTGTGAATAAAAATACTTACACGATTTTATATATAAATATTTTTTTTTCTTTTCTTTTCTTTTCGTATAATAAGTAATCGATAGAATATAGAACAAGTGTGGACATGCTCGCTTTTAATCGCTCCACGTTGTGCTATTCTAACGCGTAAAAGATACAAGGCGTATATAAGAAAAGAAAAATATATATAGAAATCATTATTTTGTACTCCTTACACTTTCGTTATACACACGTGTTAGCAACTATAGAGTGCAATAGTGAATATAAAATGCCAGTTTCTCCACCTCCACATGAAAATATTGAATTATCTTCTGATAAAAATGATGAGGTTGAATCCGCTGCTTTACAACTCGTTTCAAACTCATTAAAAACCAATTGGACAAATCCATCAATTAAAAAACTTACTGATGGTCTCTCCAATAATCTCTTTGCTATTCGTCCATCATCAAAAGATTCTGATGATAAAAAAGATCAAGGTGTTATAGTAAAAGTTTATGGTAAAAATTCAGATTTAATTGTTGATCGAAAAGAAGAAATTCGTTTTATGCTTCATTTGACTCAATTTCAAATGGCTAGTCAAATTTTACTTACATTCAATGATGGTTTTATTTATGAATATGTATCTGGTACTCCTGTTGATATTAATGATGAACAAAAATCGTCAGTAGAATATATATATATTACAATTATGAAATCGTTCGATATTTATTTTTAGATTACTCATTGCTCGAAGAATGGCTGAATTTCATTCGATACCGTTGATGAAAAGTGATGATAATCAAACAAAAGCACAATTATCAGAAAAACTTCGTCATTTTATTAATTTATTAAGTGGAAAAAATGATGAATTACATAAACGTTTAGATAAAAAAGGTTCATCTATCTTATCAAATCTCGAAAATATTTCTTGGAGTGATATTAGTAATGATATTGATAAAATTGAACATATATTTGAAAATAAACAATCAAAATGGTCTCATATACCTGTTATTGTTTGTCATAATGATACACTAATTGGAAATTTTTTATGTGATGAAGAGAATAATAATGCGATATCATTAATTGACTTTGAACATTGTGCACGAAATATGTGGTTATTTGATGTTTTTAATTATTTTATTGAATTTGCCGGTATGGATTCTGTAGAACCCGATTTTGATGGAACATATCCATCACGTAGTAAACAACAAGAATGGTTACAAATTTATTTATCACATGCTACGTTTTTACATAATGAAAAAATAAAAATGAGTCTAGATGAATTGTGTGATTTAGGTGATTGTCTTCGTGCACCTATTCATCTTTATTGGGCGTTATGGGCTTTTCTTGAAGCATTATGTAATCCAGCGTCATTGAAAGAATTTGATTATATTAACTATGGAAAATCTCGATTAGAAGAATATAAAAATCGTAAAGATGAATTCTTTTCGACTGAAGTTAATCAATAAAAATATTTTATTGTATTATTATTATTATATATTTTTAGAATATGAAAAATAAACCAAGCTTTTGTTTATTCAAAATAACATTAAGAAATGTATTGTCTTTATGTTTGATTCTCATGTACTAATTTTTACAAAATCAATACAGAACAAATGCTAACTGTTGAAACAATAATTCTGTCATTCTTTTTTTAAACTTACATCGATAAGCATTCTTTCTATAATTGCCTGGAATTAATTATAACTAGAATTAATAATATCCAGCAAAAATATAGAAATGGTGAGTATAGATAGGGATCTTTTATTTATCCACATTCATCTTCAGCATGGTTTAATATTAAGTCATTCGATCATTTCTATTTGATGATTTAATAAACTCTAGTCATGTATAAATGTAATATTAGATACATGTTAAAACATATTCGAAAAGAATTTTTAAATGAAAAGTAATGGAGGGTGTAGGTATAAGCGAGGGTGTGTGTAGGTGTGAATGTGATATAAATATAATACCTATACTCACATTCACACTCTGGATGGTGTCGAAATATAATTAAGCGACAATGCGATCGCAGTTGCACCTTAATTTTATCACAATTGAAAACATGGGTTTCCTTTATTTTTCAATATTTATTCAGTCTTTTCATGGATTACCAGTAATAAGCTTTTACTTTTTCTTTTATTTTACTTCTCGATTTTTTATTTAACAAAAAATTATTTTCTCTTTTTCAAAATCAAAATTTCATTTACAAAATTATGTCAAATTTTTCAATTCGATGATTTGTTTGATCACAAATATAAAGATTTCCGTCGTCATCGAAAGATAAACCACGAGGGCAGTTCAATTGAGTTAATTGATCTCCTTTTCCATTGCCACCAACAACAATTTCACCTTCTTCTTTTCCTTCACACCAACGCATTACTCGATCATTCTCACAATCTACCACATAGATTTGACTCGAATGATCAACAATCACTCCTCGAGGTGCAGATAATTGATTGAGATTTCTTCCATTACCATTTCCTCCAGCAACAATTCTTCCTTCTTTTGCATCTTTTATCCATTTCATCACACGATGGTTCTCTCTATCTGATACATAAATAGATTGATCTTCATCAACAAAGATAAAAGTAGGATTGCTGAGCTGATTTAATTTATCCCCTTTTCCATTTCCACCTGCCACTATAATTCCTTTGTTGTTTTCTCCTATTTTGCAGCGTCTCACTTCATTCTTGTTCCAGTCAGAAACATAAAGAAATCCATTTTTATCCATTGCCAAACCATAGCAGTCAATATTCGCAATGAGAATATGTTTATTTTGATTGAACCATTGAATCACTCGTCTATTATTACAATCAGCAATGATGATAGAATGATTTTGTTGATCAACAATCACATCTGTTGGGCCATTTAACTGATCTATTCGATTTCCTTTACCATTTCCACCTGCTATGAGTTGTCCTTCCTTTGCATTACATTTCCATTCAACAATACGATGATTATCAAATTCAGCAATGAAAACATTTTTGTTTTCATCAATAAAGGTTCCACAAGGGGAGTTGAGTTGATTTAATTTCTCTCCTTTCCCATTTCCAGCAGCTACAGTGATGGCATTTTGCTTCCATTTGTTGAATTTTGATTCTACAAAATGATGAAGACAGAAGATTTTCATGACAAAAAGAAAAAAAGGAAAAAACAGAAAATCAATTGAAAATATTTAATTTTCATCAATAAAAAATGAATTATAATCAAATTATTTTTATTAAAATATTTTTCAAGAGAAAATTCATTTTTTTTCTGAATAAATTTTCTTATTATTTGTTTCTAAAGATATTTACTAATTATAACAATTATTTCTTTATTGCTCAGTTAAAATATTATCAGTTATTTCCTTTTCTATTGTATGAGTATCATAAATCCTATATGATAAATTTATTTTCTGAAATCTATTCAATAAAAATAACAAAAAGATCTAATGATAAATTATCATTGAAATCATTACAAAATCTGTTTTATCTCTTTAAAATAATACAAAATATCTTTAAAATTGTGAACGATAGAAGAGAATAAAAAAGATTCAGATGTTTTGTAATTTATCACGAACTTTTAATATAAAGTATCTAAAGCATTGGAATTCTAACAATGTATCTTTATTAGTTATTTTGTTTTTCTTAAAATAACGAACGACGTTTGAAAATTATTCAAATTTGTTTTTAAGAACTATCCATTTTTTGAAGCTGAAGAAAAATTCTTTGTTTTAATTTTATATTACATGTCATATTTTATCATTCGTTCTTTTATATACAAATAAATTTAATTTATAAATAAATCAATAATATTCTTGATTTATTTAAACTTCTACATCTGTATTTTTCTTTTAGAAACTATTTATTAAAAACCTTACTTGGTAAAATAATTGAAATTTCAGTAACAAATAATTTTGAATTTTGTCGAATAGTAATCTTTAAAGGCTTCTTTAGATCTTCTGTAATTTCTATTAATTGATTCTTTAAATAATTTAAATTCGTTTCATTAAATTCATTTTCTCCATGAATTTGTTTTATTTGTTCAGTTAGATCTTTGAACTTCATTTCAACATCATTAATGAATGTTTGGGAAGATTTAATGACATCTTCTCTACAATCTTTTGCTTTTTGTTGAATTTTTTCAATTGAATCTGTTTCCCATTGATTGATGTGTTCTATTAATGAAGGATTATATGGATTTTGTTTTTGTTCATTAATTCTTTGTTTAAATTCATCATAATCATTAATTATATGGTTTAATTCTTCATTTAGTATTTGATGATGTTCATTTAAATGCATTAAACAGAATTCATTTGAACATCCTCTACAAGGATATGTAATTTTGTCTTTGTTACATTTAAAACATTGAGTTTTGTTATTTGCCATTGCCATGTGTTTGAATATAAGTTTATGGAAGAAATGAATCTTATCTACTTTTTAAGATATAAACTCAATGAGTCATTGATAACAAAAATCTTGTTTGTTAGTAAAAGAAATCAAAAAAGAATATTTTTTATAACAAAAACCCACTGATAAAACTGGTGTAATATCTAAGACAGCTGCAGTAACATTGGAAACTGACTTCTCTTTAATTTTAAATAAAAATCTAAACTATTTCTATAACGGTTTCTCAATAAAAGAATGCTTTATTGTAGATTTGGTTGTAAGTAAACATTAGACATAGATCTGCACCCACAACTTTATACTCCAGATCGATAATATATCAATATCTCAATTATCCAACTCTATCACCATAATTATTTTGATTCAGTCTTATTTTCATCATTATCATCTGTCTCGTTCTCAAGATAGCTCTTATGTGATATTCTTTTTTGGCCATTTTTCATAGTATTTCAAAAAACTAACTTACCAAAATGAAACTATTTCAAAAAATTAAATTTGTAAAAACTGTGATATGCCGTGGTTCCTTTTTAAACTATATAATTGACTTGAAAAAAGAAATGTGACAAAACATTTCAAGTGAAGAAAAATAGCAAAAAAAAAAATGTTTTGTTGTTGAAGAAATGATGTTTTAGTGTTTCATAATGAAACAATATTGAAGAACGAAAAGTAAATACGACGGAGAGAAATAAAATTTTCGAAAGTTTCGTTTTGTTAATTGATGAAATTGAAAATTCTTCAACAAAAGAAAATCCATCGAAATAAATAATAGGATGGGTGTAGATATCATCTTCAACTCATATCCCCACTTCCACTCCAACACTGACAGCTTAAATATAAATTGGAATTAAATAAAACTTCATGTTTGAATTCGCATACTCTTTCTCAATAATTTAACATTGATTAATATCACCAATAAATTAAAATGAGTTTTCAAGAATGTTTCTAAGTTGATGATAACTGGCACGGATTATTAAAAAAATAATCTTAGACTATTTTTTAATGGAATAAACAAATAATAAAGATTTATTATTTTTTAATGGAATAAACAAATAATAAAGATTTATTATTTCTTAATTGAAATATTTGATTTGGTATTACAAGACTCATCTACTTTCAATTATCTGGGTGTAGATATGGGTTTGAATGTGACAGTATATCACCCACACCCAACTCATCCCCCCCCCCCCCCCTTCAGTAGTCCGAGCAAATCAGGCGCACATTTGAATTTCCCGCATCGAAATATCTCAAAAAATGTCTTTTTCTGGACGTCCGTCTTCGATGGTTTTTGTGACCCTGCGGACATACAAGCAATCAAGCAAATAATTTATTTCTATTAAACTCTTCTCTACGAGAAAGAGAACAAAGAGAACGAAACGAGAATGATGTATGGTGTCCTCTAACACAAACGACTAGTTACTGTCCTTCTTCGTAACGATAGCAACATAAAATAGGATTAATATCGCTCGTTCGATCTTTCTATCAAAGGTAAACAAAAAGTTAGGCTTCAATGACCTAAAGAACAGACAGAAAGAAAGAGCTCGTGAATGTGATCATGATATTCTTTGTATAAAGTGTGACGGATACCATATTATTGTATGTACATGTCCGCCGTGCATGTACATACACATCGGTCATTGTTCTTTCTTTTCGTTTTCTTGTTCGTTCGTCATTATTTCATATTCATTCTATGAAATAAAGCACGAACGAGTAGTCGTTAAATAAATATATATGTATCATTTTATCAACGAAGAATTCAATATATACTTCGTGAAAAAAATTTAAAGGTAAGTAAAAAAAAATATAAGAGCTATTATACTGCTTAATCCATTGATTGAAAGCTAATTAAATGATCATTTCAGAAGGTTAGTTATCGCGATGCTCTTGCACTCTCATTCGTAGCTATGTACATTTCGAACGAAAAAATATAGCGATCCTTAAGCTTTTAAACACGACAATACATTTATAAATTTTGACTTAATATAAATTACAAATTTTCAAAGTTTTTGCATATGAATTTCTTTATTATTTTATAATCATAGAGTTAATACTAATCAAGAATGACAACGATATCAACAACAACACAAGCTAATAATTCTTCGCATACGTCAACAAACGACATTCGACCTAAAACTATTGACAGTTTACATACAAATCCTATAATTAATATATATCAACGGATAATTGACTCGTTCAAACGTGCCGCAGCCCTTAAAAACATTTCAATCGAAATGAAAGAAACATCATCAGAAGGTGATCAACATGATGCGGTTGAAAAAGG